CCAGATGCATCTTATGCTGGCCACGCCCATCCCCAGTTTAGCGAAGAGGAAAAAACTCTTGATACCTGATGCCATGACAATGTGAGTTTGACACCCCTGATCTAGATGCACTGATGTGTTTTTTATGCAATTACTTTGTACCATTTGTGGGGAGTTACAGGATGCAGATGGTTTATCAATTTAAATCTCATGTTGACTCTAACTTCTTTCACTACTTTAATATTGATCAAATATATATGGCCTTTCATCTTGCCCAGAGTGATTCTGGGTGATGCAGAATAAAACCAATAATTACAACATATTACAAAGAACACTTTAGAGAATTAGATATTTTTTAAAAAAACCCAAGATTCTTGAGTGGGTTAAAATCAGAATGTCATACATGATACAACCAGCGTGTGGGCCTTTTGGGGGGAAAATGTGTTTAAGGGACTTTTGGAAGGTCACAAGGGTCAAGTAGATGTAATTGGGAAAAGGTGGTGCGCAGTTAACCTGGCCCCATGCCATGTAGGGCTTTAAAGGTCAAAAACAGCACCTTGATTTGAACTTGAAAGAAAACTGGGGATCAAGGTAGCTCATGGAGCAGAGGTGTAAACATGTGCCCCTCCAGCGGCACCCAGTTATGCACCAGATGAAACTTCCCAATACTCTTCAAAGGCACCCCGAATAGCTCTCCTCCACCAGCAGCTATAGGGCCTTCGCTTCACTTTGTTTTCATTGAGCCTGCTGCAGTGTTGAAACTGAAAGATTTGGGGCTCTCCTGAGACCATGGTAAAACAAAACAGCCTTTCCTGTTTATATTGACCTCCTCCGTAGGCTGGCATAAATGCCTGTGTTGGAAAGACCTGTCTGTGCTCTCTGCTTTTGCCCTTTCGGGAGAATGCAGGGATAGGACTCTTTCAAAACCCTGCCCATCCACAGGTTTATAGAAGTGGAACAATTTGAAACTGCCTGTCTTGAGGAAGCTGATCTCTGTGCTTGTAGACATTATAGGAGACCAGAGTTTTCTTTCTGATACCAGCCAGCTTTTACCCATTTATAGAAAAGGCATAAACATTAAATATTTAAAAGTGGATATTCCATTCTAATGCAAGGCTGTGAATAGCAGTATCCTGACAGTTACTGATGGTTAGAAAGGACAGAAAAAAGTGCAGAAAAAGTATCTATCTAATCTATCTATCTATCTATCTATCTATCTATCTATCTATCTATCTATCTATCTATCTATCTATCTACCTACCTACCTACCTACCTACCTATCTCCTGCTTTTGTTACATATTTTTCAAACAAGGCAGCAAACATATCCAACATACCTCCTCCTCCTATTTTTCCCCACAATGAGCACTCTGTGAGATGGGTTGGGCTGAGAGTGCCCAGCCCCAAATCACCCAGCTGGCTTTCATGGCTAAGATGGGATTTGAACTTGCAATCTCCTGTGTTGTAGCCTGGTACCTTATCCAAACTTAGACAAAACTGGAAATCTTATGCCAGTAGAGCACACTGATGATGACTGAAGGATGGGGTGTAGCTCTTTGAGTTGATGGTAGGGAAAGACACACAGAAAGAAGATCAGAAGAATGCAGTTTATTTCCACACATTCAAAACTCAGGAAAAAGATTCCTTCCTCCTAACCAAACTCTTCCCATTTCCATGTGCACACTGAGAAATCTCTACTCCTCTCCAGTTCGTCTATATTTTTCTCTCCAGAATCTAAAGAAATGTTTCTAAAATCAACTACAGCAATTCACTATTAAAATTTGCAAAATTTGTCCTGGTAGAAGAGGAAAAAACCTACTTTAAGTTGAAACAGGTGCATATAACTTTAAGCTGTCTCATTAAGACAACACTAAGTACATTAAAAAAAAAACAAGTAATGAGTGCATCTTTATGTCAGTGTGGGGAATATAAGAATCAGCACATAAAGAATAACCAGTTGGCTGCATTAAAGTGCTTTCTAATCCTGGCTAACATAAAATTTACTGGTACAACTATGGTGCTTATTCTAGCATAATGAGAACTGTGAGTGGTTCTGTTTTAATGCAGGACAAGTTAAGGAAAGCTATATGTTCTTCCAGCTCTATTTGTCCTTTCATCAAGCACTGTCTGCTGACAGGAAATCAACCAACAATCACTTTCCCTAACAGAAGGCAAAGTGTGGATGGATGAGTATAGATGGGTTCATGGAATGGTAGTTTTACCTGCCTCTCAAGCATCTGAACTAACTGGTGGCATCTATCAGTTATCTATTAGGCTTTTTATGAACATGAGTACAGTTTCTTCTGAAATTGCGCTAAACCTTTGTTCAAAAGAAATCTGGCTCACAAGTCATGGAGTAGTGGCAAGATGTGAAGCAGGAAGGAGCAATCTGTAAAAAAAGCATGCTTCATCCTTGATTAGTGCAACAATGGAACAGCAGTATTAGTAGCAATTCCAATGTTGTCCTTGTGGATAGCAGCAAATGCTGCTACCAAATGCTACTATCCACAAGGACAAAATTGGAACTGGCCATGGATTTGGAAAGGATTAAGAAAAAATGGAATACCCACACACCCCCAAATAATAAAAATGGTAAAAATTACAGGTACATGAAATCTCTTGTAGGCAGAAACAGACAAATACCAGTAATCTAAGCAAACATCAGGATAGGAATAGGAATCAGAATCAGGAATAGACAGCAAAACAGGAACCAGCAGTTCTTTGATTTACATTTACTTATTGTGGGTAGATAAACATTCTCGTAAAACAGCGTTAAGCCTATGTTCACAAGAAGCCCATGTGAAACCTGGCAAGCAGTCTAGAAGGTGCCAGTCAGCATTACATGGAAGGATGCCTCTGCAGAAGCCAATATCTGGATTTTCCGGCAGACAAAGTCACCATGGACAATGCCCAGGAATCCAGAGGTCCAGAAGGCTGTTCCACAGTAGGTTAAGGCAACTTGGCAGATCCCAGCTTTGGGCCCACTTCAGTAATCACATTGTTGATGAAGCACTGTATGCTACATTTCACCTCTTCAAAAAATGTGGCAAGAAAGTCTCAGGGTAACTGTGAGAATTATGGGATTCTCACACAGGGTTGTGTGCTCGCTCCACTACTATTTTCTCTCTATATCAATGCCTATATATCAAAGGATCCCTCTGTTAAAGTACTGAAGGTTGCAGATGATAGTGATTGGTCTCATTAGAGACGATGATGAATCTACATACAGACAGGAAGTTGAACTGAACAAACCTCAACGGAACACATTCAAAATTGTAGAGATGATAGTAGACTTCAGGAGAAGCCCTCCTATTCTACCACCTCTTACAATACTAGACAACACAGTATCAACAACAGAGACCTTCCAAGTTCCTAGGTTCTATAATATCTCAAGACTTAAAATGGATACCTAATATCAGAAATGTCATTAAAAAACACAATAAAGAATGTTCTTCCTGTGCCAATTGAGAAAGCTCAAATTGGCCAGAGCTGCTGATACAGTTTACAGAAAAATTACTAAGTCTATCATTTGCATCTCTATAACTGTCTGGTTTGGCACAGCAACCAAACAAAAACAGTCTTCAACAGATAGTTAGCACTGCAGAAAAAAACAAATTGAAACACCCCGCCTTCCACTGAAGACCTGTATACTACACGAGCTAGAAAGTGGGTGTGAAAATATCTTATATCATGGACCTAAATTATTTCAATGTCTTCCCTCAAAACGACGCTACAGGGCATTGCACGCCAAAACAACCAGACATAAAGAGTTTTCCCCCCATGCTATCACTCTGCTAAACAACTAATTCCCACAACACTATCTTATTCCCTGGGATGGCAAACCACGTAGGAGGACTGTATTACTATCATCTTCTCATCTTTCCTATTACCTATTTCCTTGGCTTCTTATGACTATAACTTTTTGTATCTTATGATTATTTCTATTTAGTATCCTATTATGATTTATGTTGATTGCTTATTTAGTATCCCATGACTATCACCGACTGTTGTACCTTATGATTGTATTTATGATTATGATTTATCACTTGTTGCTAAAATATACGAGAGCTTATGCACCAAAGACAAATTCTTTGTGTGTCCAATCACACTTGACCAATAAAGAATATTCTCTTCTATTTCATTCCAGAGTGGGAAAGAAAATCTCACTAGTATTTTCTGAAAAATTGTGTGATAACTTGTTTACCTATTATAGGAGTTATTTTAGAAAGAGAAAACCCTCTCCCAAATTACAACTATTTTATCAATATCCATAGTATAACTACTTGAGTTACATAAAATGCCATATGCTACCATATTATCCTGATTATAATTCAGCAAATTTACCTGCTTAAGTCTTAACTTTCTGAATTTAGATATCTGTGTTTTGAGGGATAAACACTTATAATAGAAGTCAAGGTTTTCAGTCTTCAGCTTCTTCATCTCTTTTATTTGTGAAATTAACACTTTCCAGCATTATTCTAAGGCACGGGTAAATTTGCAAATTACTTATCCATGGTTAACGTTATACTGTAATTTATTTAGTTTTCTAGAGTCCTATACTGAAGCATACCTCAACTACAAGAACTGGCGTAACTTCCTAAGATAAAACAACTTTAACAAATGCTGTCTCTTCCAAATGCTTGCAGAACAGAATTTGCAAGATCAAGCAAAGTATATTTAAAATAAAATCGGGAAGGAGAGCTGTGCTGCATTGCTATAAACAGGTGGAATCCTTCTTTGGGGTGCAATATTTGCTAGATAAACAAGAGAATGCAGTGAACAAATAACCAACCTCAGATAAACATTTGGGAGTTAAGGAGGTTGGCTTCGAGGTTCAAAAAATGTTTAATTTTAGTTTTTGCACGCAGAACTATTGGCGAGATCCCCCACCCAAAGATTATTAAGCGTCCGATACCAAGAGCGCAAAAAACCCCAAAAGTGAAGCAAAAAAGCAGTTCCGCTCCCGGACAAAATGGCCGCCGTCTTCTCCTCCCCTCCGCGCCATATCCGGGGGAGGGGGGGAATGCGACCGGAAGTGGGTCGCGTTTCCAAGATGGCGACACCCTATGTTACTGATGAAACCGGTGAGTGAGGGAGCTGCGGTTGGGGTGTGAGGGACGTAATTTCAAGTGCCAGACCCTTTCTTCCCCTGACTCCCTCCAACTCGGACACCCGCCCTCCCCACCTTCGCGCCCGACCGCTCCATCCCGGGTTCTTTTCCGAAGCGAGGCTCCACCCCATCTCCATCCCCGTTTGTCCGTCCCGCTCTTACGCCACGCCCCCCTCGAGGGCGTCCCTCCTTTTCTCTCTGGGCTACCTGTTCTCCTCGCCTCTGGGCCCCGCCCCTTCCCGGGCTCGTCTTCTCGCGCCACGCCCCATGCAGCAAGGCAGCCCTCTCCGCGCCCGCGGAAAGCCAGCCCGGGGGGTGTGTAGGTGGTGCGAGGCGCTTAAGGTTTCCCTCTTCTTCGCTTTCTCACGTGCGTGGCAGCAAGAGGGCAGCCCCTACGGGGATTGCCTTTGCCGTGTCCCGGGAATTCCCGTGGGACTCTTACCTCCGAGGGCGTCTAACTCTAAATAAAGCTTTTTAGTCATTGTATATGCATATGTGTGTCCTTTTCTATCGAAGCTCTTCCATCGAAGTAGTGGGCCACCAATTCCTCTCATCCCCAACCAGTTTAGGTGGAAAAGATGAGGATTGCAGCCCAATATATCCGAAGAAATCAGGTTTAGTGGGAGAAATGGTTATCGAAATCAAACTAGGGGTATCTAATTAGGGATCTGAAAATGGCATCTAATCAAATTAGTCAGCTTTGGGGGCTTAGGTATCTAAATCAAATGATATCGGTGATGGGATCCAACAAGACGACCCTGGTACAGATATGGCTGTAAAATCTATTTTTGTTTCTTCCCCACCTTTTCTCATAATGAAGTCTGATAAAAGAAGCATTTGTTGCTTAAAAGATTTCAATGATTTTTTTAAAAAAATCTTCAATAGGCTTAATAAATTCCTAATAAAATAGTAAAATTTCTAAGGAAGTCCTTCCACCGATTTTGCTTCTCCCCCCACATAGGTGAGTATCTACAATTTTGTATGCATAGCTTCTACATGCCAAACATCTAATGTGGGTCTTAAGCTCACTGTTCTCTTTTTAAGTGAATTTCCATCCATTTTTGGATTGCAGATGTTACTGGTTTCTTCCCCCCTAAAACGTGTCTTGGAATATAATTTAACAGTTGTGCAGAATTTTTGAAGAGGTTAAAATTTCTGAACTTTTTTCTCCCTTCACCAATTGAAGTTTCAGGGTAATCCTCCTGGACTTTTTAGTCAAATCCATATATAATAGAAGAGTCTTTAATGTCACCTTTTCAATATAAAAACCTTGTTTATCATGTTTTTTTCTCTTCAGAATAGTTTTATGAGATGGATTAAATTAAGAGAGAAATTGACCAAAATCACCCTGTCAGCTTTGTGTCTGCATTAGAGATTTGAATCCAAGCCTCTTTAGTAAATTGCTGTGGTTGATTTAAGGAAGCAGTGTAGCCTTGCTGCCTCTGAAAATATTAGTGATTTTTTATGTTTCTGTTTTCCTTATGCCAGTTTTGTCATGCGTGTTATGCATTATTTATGTTGCATATAATCATATGCTGCACATGTCATTTTATCTTCTTTTTTAATGAGAATCCTGTGCTAACTTACAGGATCATCTGACAGAACTGACAGGAATATTTTGAAGTATTAAGTGTTGCCCTGTAAAAAAAAATCCATAATTACTTGTGAAGAACTGTAGAGGCATTTTTCTTTCATTTCTTTATATCTTTATCTTTCATATAAAAAAAGGTAAAAAGTCTCCTTTGTGTTAGTTCCTGAATTCCTCATGACATCATGGAAACCCCCATCTAGCTTTATTACCAAAGGTATCAAAGTAGTTTGCCATTGTTTTTTGCTAAAAGTTTTTTGTTTTTGTTTTTCACTTCTTTGCCTAGTAGATAGCCTTGGTATTTCTTAGTGGCCAGTGGTCTCCCCTCCAGACACTAACCAGGGTCATCTCCATCCTACTGGTGCACACCGATCTTCCTCATTTATTAGCAGGAAGACTCAAGTCCAGGAAGCCCCCTCTGGCACTTGCACAACATCTGCCCAACAATTTTGAAAAGCTAAATGGGTCGCTGAACTCCTAGACGTAGGAAGACATATAAATAATCCCACAAACATTGGTATTTGAACACAGATCTTTTAAACATATTTTTTTGTGTTTTACTAATTCAGGTAATATATTAATATATATTGCTAGCTCATGTATGACATGTCATACACCAAATAATCTAACCAGGATTAGATTTTTATGATTAGTTAAATTAGGCTGCTTGTGGAATTTGAATGGCTGGTTGGGTTTATGTATATCTTTTTCCTGTTTTGCAGAGGAATTTTTCACAATGTTTTTTTTTAAGGCTTGAAATTCCTAATGATCACCCAAGAAAATATGACTCATTGGTTGATTGATTGATTGATAGCAGTTTCCTTCTCAAACTAAAATAACCAACCCATATTTCAGGAAAATACATTGCATCCACACAGCGTCCAGATGGTACTTGGAGAAAACAAAGACGGGTGAAAGAAGGCTATGTTCCCCAAGAAGAAGTGCCAGTGTAAGTCTGATCCTCATCCTTCTCTTCTTATGGATATGTACAAAGAAGTAGCCACACAAGCAAAATAAATGCTCTTGTAACAACTTAAAGGCTAACATAAGCATGATTGCCTGCCTCACAAACTACCTTATCTGATGCAGGAAATGTTATTTTATATAGTCTTTATCCTCCCATTGTATTAGTTGTGTCTAGGAGGGCAAGAAAGCAAAAAACAGAACATTGCCAGGACACACACACACCTTCCATCATCATCTTCAGTCTTTGGAATGATACTCTTGAAAAAAACAGTTTTCATTAGTGATATGGCTTCAGATCAGGAGAAATTTGGTCTGCTTTTGATAGGAAAAGTTTGGAATTCTCACTAAGCATTTAATGCTTTTAGATATATTTTTTTTTGGGGGGGAACCCCCACCTACTGACTTTTCGAACATTTAGATGTTCAAGACAGTATATAATTATAATTCTATCTCAGTTTCCTTTTCCCCTTAAAATTTTTCTTTAGCTGGGATGGCTGAAGTGAAATTTCCTTATTCCAGGGCAGTAAGTTTCTGAACATATTACTACATTATATTTTTTCCTTACTTTTGATAATGGAATGATGGATAGGGTTTTTTTGCAGTGTTCTTTCTAACATGTGCTATGTTAAAAGTTATTGGCCGATTGTGAAAGTTTAGTTTCATGACCACAGTGGTGAGATCCAGTTTGTGAATCCTTTAGAAAAGGGGTGGGGAATTATAGTACCTTTATGACCTGTGGACTTCAACTCCCAGAATTCCTGAGCCAGCTAGACTAGCTCAGGAATTCTGGGAGTTGAAGTCCACAGGTCATAAAGAGACCATAGTCTTTAGAACTATGCAGGACTATGATTTCAGTGTGAACAGAGAACAAAGCTGATATCGCATTGTGTAGTACTGTAGGATTATGAATAGTTCTAAACAGTTCACAACAATTATCTCAGGACTGTTAACAGTAATAATGATTTTTATAGCTTGGAGGGCACCAGGCTGGGAAGGTTTCTTCATAATGGCATAAAGAATGTCCAATAAGAATGTCTGTTGATTGGTCAGCAGACAGAAATATTCAATGCTTGGCTAAAGTATTTTCATTTCCCTAGAATGTGATGCAGCGGGAAGCAAGAAATTTGGGCATTTTGTGCAACTATGCTATAGCCCAGGGCTGTCAAACTCCTGGCCTGCGGGCCAGATGCATCATGCGCTGGCCACGCTCATGCCCAGTTTAGTGAAGGGGGAAAAAGTCTCAATACGTCACATGATGCTGCCATGACACGGTGAGTTTGACACCCCTGCTATAGCCAAATTTAACGGCAAAAAGTCAGAGGGTCTGGGATGCTGATGCGGGACCTTTCTGCAACTCCTTAACGCAGCTGCCATTTCCCCCAGGTTTGGATAGTGGTCCTTTGCAATTGCAGCACAATCCCAAAATGTTTTACTCAAGGAGCTCAATATGGGTACTTTGCACATTCCCCTGCATGCAGTTCAGCACTTTTCTGCCTTTGAATGGGAATGTTGCACAGCCGTTGTCTTTTTTAGACCAGAAGTGATTGTCCCAAGTTTCAGTGTTCATCTAGTAGACATGAAGCAGCATAAAGATTGCTTGCATTAGTCTACTCTGAAAAATGACTGGGAAAATTTGCTGAGACCACCTGACCTAAGCTACGTCCCTGATATTTAATATACAGTATTTCCATTTTGTAGGTTGCTATGCAAAGTTAACACTTTCTAGAATGACCTGTATGCTCTTAAGTTAGATTTCTGCACCTTGGTATGCTCCAAATGTTTTAATAATGACCAGTTTGATTCCCAGACAGCACTTTTTTGTCACTGCAACACTTCTAAGAAAGTTTTCAAACAGTCACTCCTCCAGGGAGGTTGGGGGAGGGTTCCTTAGTGCTCTCTGAGCTTGGTGGTTTCCTTGACATTTCATTATCAAACTAGGTAACATCATCAGTGCTAGCTAGGACTCTTCTATCAGAGTCACTCCTCTCAGTCCAGCCTATTTTACAGAAGCTCCATGTGTGGATAAAGTGAAGATAACCTTCCGTGTCTGCCGCCTTGAACTTCCAAAGGAAACATGGTCTGTCTTTACACCACTTTCCCTTTTATTTCATGCAGGTATGAGAATAAATATGTGAAGTTCTTTAAAAGCAAGCCAGAGTTACCTCCAGGCTTGAATCCAGAAGTCCACACGCCTGTGGCCCGTCAAACGTCAAAGGGACCCGAGGGTGGAGAGACAGGGCTCTCTAAGACCGCCAAGAGGAATCTCAAACGGAAGGAGAAGAGAAAACAGCAGCAGGAAAAAGGGGATCGAGATGCCGATGACCTGATTCAGTCTCTAGAGAAAACAACCTTGTCGGCGACACCGAGCAGCTGTGGGGATGGTAAGCTGGCTGTGTCTGATGCCAACCCAAGGGCCCCCGCTGGCAGCAGGGATGTCTCGTCGGCTTCCGACACTGCCACCTTAGAGAAGAACAAGAAAATTAAAAACCTGAAAAAGAAACTACGGCAGGTGGAGGATCTGCAGGCGAGGATTGACTCTGGGGAGATCAAGCAACCGACCAAAGAGCAGTTAGAGAAGCTGGCTCGACGGAAAGCTTTGGAAGAGGAACTTGAGGACCTGGAACTGGATTTGTAAAGGGTTGGAATATCAACCGGACCTAGTGTGCATAGGAACAAACCGTCCCCCGGGGAAACGTTCTCAGAACTGTACAACAAAAAGACCAGAAGATGGTGATGTCTTCAGCCTTCTCCTTTGTATCATTATTTTATTTTATGTTGGTGCTGTCTAAATTTTTAAAAGTATTTCTCCCAGCTGTTGATGTGTTAGCTATCTAGGACTTCTTTAAGGACAACAACTTTGCCACCTAGTTCTTTCTAGTTTCTTCCTCCCCTTCCCACCTCCATTCCTGTTCCAGGTGGGTGGCTGAAATGTCATTTCACACCGAGGGGCTGGCTTTCAGAGGCATCTGAGCAGGGCGAGCAGTCTCTTTTTTAACTGCTGCCACTATATTATATTCAACATTCTCATGTTCTCTGTAACAATCACACAGCCTTCCATCTTCTCCTTCCTCTTCATTTTGAAAAAGGGATGCAATAATAAAAATTGCAGTAGTGACTTCTAACTCTAGGACATCTGTGTTTTACCCCCAATGCACTTTTTTTTTTTTTTTTAAAAAAAAGTCTTCTGTATGATATTAGCATTTTTATAGGCTTCCCTTTCTTTGGCTGGTGGATGCAGCCCAGTGTCAAAAGCGGTCTGTGATAGATGTGAAAATGGCAAAAGGGACAGTAGTTCAGTGATGGAACATGTGTTTTATATGCAGACGTTTTGAAGTCTGATCCCAATTATCCTCAGATTGGAAGAAAAGTCCTGTTTGAAGCCCTGGGTGGTCACTGTCAATCGGTCTTAACAATGCTGATCTCACAGCGCTTTGGTTTATCTAAGGCAGCTCCCAGGCTGGGGTTGCATAAACATGCACCTTGAGACTAAAATGGAATGACTTATAATGGCAGCTTGTTGCACGAGTCTAGAGACCTTGTCTTATGTTGTGTGATCTAGACTATCAAATTTAAGTAGCAAAATTTATTTCCTTAGTCATATCCGGACAACAAATCTGCTTGACTGCCAAGTGGCAGTAGAAGAGATTGATCTAAAAGTTTCCCTCTAATCATTGTCCAGAGTTTTTGCATCCCAGATAAAGTCCCTGAACATTTTGTGCTTGGTTAACTAAGAGCTGGATGTTTTGTGTGAATCTGGTCCTTGTGTTTCATGTAAGGATTAGAAATAGAATTGATAATAAATATGTGTGGATATGGTGTGGTCATCCTCGGTGTAGTAGGCACAGTTCTTGTCCCTTTCAGATAACAGGAAATTTAAACTTGGGGAAAAGTGAAGAGAAAGGCAGAATAAACAGGTATCTTCAATTTGAATAAAAGTCCAAGGGCTTCTTAACCAAGATAACTAAATTCTCTCTCTCCCTCTCTCCTCTCCTTTCTCTTTCATTTCTATATTAGAACAGTGGTCAAGAATTACCACAGCCTAAGACCAATTCTGAGAATCGGTTCACATAAAACAGAGGTGTCAAACTTGCGTTGTCACAATGGTGTCACGTGACGTATTGGGACTTACTTTTCCCCTTCACTAAACCAAGCATGGCCAGCACATGACGTATCCGGCCCGTGGGCCATGAGTTTGACAGCCCTGGCTTAAAACATAGGACCAAATTTTAAGGGAGGAAATGACCAATCCTGAGGTGACCAGAAACTACACGTAACTTTTGGAGTGATAATAATAAAGTCTGCAAAGAAAAGAGCAGTTGTGTATAATATGGGTAGCTGTGTTATAGACATGGCCAGGACAAAATTTTTCTGTTTGTTAGTTTTTTGTGGGATGTTCTTTGATGCTGAATGTGTTATTTATTTATGTATTGATTGATGTCATGCCTTTCACTCTGCAACTCAAGGTGACACACAATACTCCCTCTTTCTAGTTGACCTCACAAACACCACTGTGTTAAACTGCCATTTTTATATATTCGCCATCTCACATAGCAGAAAGCTGAAATTGAGTAACTTGGAATAATTTTTTTAAAAAATGTGTGGTTTTATACACACAGAGAGAGACAAAGAGTTGAGGCTGCAGATGACCCTACAGTACATGCTGTCTTCCTGGTTATGAGAAAAAATCTGCAGTTTAATCATATTATATCTAGATATGTTAATACACTAAAATATTTTCATCGATGTCAGAGGATCGATCTTTCATGTGTCCCAGCTGGGATGTGTATTCGGTTTAAGAAAACAAAATTTAATTTCACACTTCTAGTTTAAATTGAGATTTTTCTTTCTGTCTCTTAACTAACACTGGCATGAGCAAAGTGCAGTCTCTGTGCCAGACTCTGAGCAAAAATTGAAGCTTTCCAGGTACCACTGGGTTACAGTGAAATTACCAAAGGCAGAAGATGGGAAAGAAGCAAGGGAGTTTTTTAAAAAATCAGGCTAAAGTTTCAGTCATGAAATCAGCGTTGCAGTTCAAAGTCAGTGTCAAGAAATAGAGTGTACACTGAATGACTTTTGTTAGTGGAAGGTAACGTTGTTGGTGTCGGATTGCACCTTCTGTTCAGGAACAGGGGTAAAACCCAGCAGCAGCTGCTCCTATAGCTGTGTGAAAACAAAGGACAGTAACTGGCCGATGCTGGATTAAGGGTTTTGTTACCTTTGTCCAGCAGGTGGTGCTAAAATTAATAGGGCTATCTTGTATGCTCAGCTACTTTATATGTATCATTTTGTCACCACTTCACACACATGCTAATATTCCTTTAGATGAGGGGCGTCCAACCTTGGCAACTTTCAGACCTGTGGACTTCCACACCTAGAGTTCCCCAGACAGTTGTTCAGCATAGCTGGCTGGGGAATTCTGGGAACTGAAGTCCATGGGTCTGAAAGTTGCAAAGCTTGGATGCCTCTGCTTTAGATGGACTAGCAAAAACTCATCCCTCAGGGTAACACACACACACTACCCCATATACTGAATGACAAATTTGCAGGTCTCTTTTTAGACCAACATGCCTGGCTAAGGCATTCATATATTACTAACCTAGATCCCATCTCAGACTGTTTTTCCCCTATTCCTCTGTAGCCCTTAGATGCAGGTCACTGAGCTCATGGCTGAGAGTAAAAAGAATAACTGCATCACTTGAAAAATTAGCTTTGCTTTCCAGAGAGCCACTCATCAGACAGATGAGGACTCAGGATAGCGTTGCCTCTACTACTAGGGACGATCTGGGGAACAGGACCCCTTCTAGCAAGCATTGGTTCCAACTATCATCAGCCTTTCCAATTGTAGCCAATAGTCAGGAACATCATTTGCGGTGCAAACGAATTGGAGAATACCACATGGTTCCCAAATATCCTTTATCTGCTGTTTACCCAGCTGTCCTTTTGTTTTACCAGAACGATTAAAGGATCACCTGGAGAAGCTTAGGGGTACATCAAAAACACAGCTGCTGCTGTTGTTCCCCTCCCATTGTTTCCCTCCCAGCAAGGTTTGTATCTTTCTCTAATTTGTACTAGGAGCTGAAGGTGGCTGATAGGTTTGGTGAAATGCATGTTAATGAAAGCTATAGTCCCTAGACAAAACTTCCAGGAGTTATTATTCTTCCAACTCTATGATATCTTTTCCTTGGTCTCTGATGAACTCTATTTTCCTTTATTTCAATTGTACTCCTTGTCGAGTAATTTTAAACATAGGGTAACTTTTTTGAATGTTCCCCTTGTGGTTTTTAATCTTTCTTTCAAGAAGCTCACTCTCCTTTTGACTTAAAAGTCCTTTGCGGCAGGTGGGTGGGTGGTTCAAAATGCTGTAACTCAAAAGCACAAGTTGACAGGCTTACGGATTCTGGTTGAAAAATAAAGTCAAGTCTTGCAACCTGAAGTATTTTGCTTTTACATGATGGGCGAAACTTAAATATGTGAAGTGGGGGAAGTTCTTGCCACTGAGGGCAAACATTTGGTTATTTTGACATCTGCTTTCATTTGCTATTTGCTTCAGCGTTTGATTTTCCCTCCAGTCAATAAGTAAGATCATATAAATGCCAAGGAAGGCAGAGATTAAACCAAATGATAAATAACACTGGGTTTTTTTTCAAGATAATGTTAAGAATTGTCACCTGAATTTTAACTCAGTTAATACATGGGGTAGGCCTTATGTTTAGAAAAAAAGTAGATTGCACAGTACTGTATAGTATATTTTTTATTACACACTTGTATATGCACCAGACACAAATTCCTTATGTGTTCAATCACACTTGGACAATAAAGAACTCTATTCCATTCCATTCCACTGTTGGATGACATGCATCCGCCAAATGTCACAAAACAAAGCTGTTAGCTAATTATTCTTTGCAGGATCCTTTGTTGACCAAATACACCTCTAGTTTATTTTGAAAGTGTTGAGATTTATTTGCAAAATTAATTGGGGCAGAGATTCTTTACCATTTATATTCCCAGATAAGCATCTATCAGAGTCAAAGTCACATTTTAAGCAAAAATGAGATTTTACAACAGTGGAGCTTGATATGATGTATAAACCCAGCTATTGTAGCTTATACAGTGATGTTTGGCTTAATATGTGAATTTAGCCAAATATTATTCAACGTGTCATGCTTTTTAAAAAAATTATACGTTAGTGCAAGTGTAAATCTAGCCAGAATTTAGGGCTGTTAAAGCTGTTGACTATTGGCTCAAGGATATTTGTGTTTGAACTGGATTATTTAGCAAATCCATCAATTTAAATAATTCTTCCTAAACCAGGGCCATTTCTTAATGTATTAATGTATTTGTTATTCCAATTTTAACATTCATAGTCAACATTGTTTTTGTAGAGGAAATCCCCTTTTGGTGTTAGTCAGAAATTTCCCCCCAATAAAAACTGCAGTTCCTGAGAAGGGATTCTACAAGAGGGAAAGGAGGATTACATTCTTATGCTTGATTGGAGGCAATAATTAACCTCAAGCTTATTGAATTTTCAATTCAATTATAACTATGAAGGAGAATATTTGTAGCTCAGGGTCAAAAAGAGGGCTCCTTGGTGCTTTCTGAATTTGCTTTCTTGCAGATGTTTCATTACCCAAACTAGTTAGCACTGATGATGTTACCTAGTTTGGGTAATGAAAAGTCTGTAAGAAAACAACCAATCTCAGAGACTACCAAGGAGCCCCAGTCATAACTATATTGTACTCAAAGGCTCATCTAACATGTCTATAAATATGGTGCTAAATCAGCAATGCTATGTTTGGCCCCCAATCTGTTGTCAAATACAGTATAGTTCAGTGGTTAGCAGGTCAGATCTAGGGATCAAATTTATGTTCAGTCATGAAACAGTCTTGATCATCAATTGCTACTTTTTGTCTAAAAACTGGGTGTGAAGACTAAAAACAAATTTGTAAGAATGTTGAATACCTATCTGAATAATATATTGTGTTATTTCCTTAGTTTTAATATTAAGACTTGTAGTTCAATAACTGTTGCATAGAGATGATGAGAGCTGTATAACAACACAAACACAATATTCTAAGTTGGTCAATTTTATTTTAGTTTCAGCTACGTAAAGGATTAACTCAACACATTTCTTTGAGGAAGAGCCAACCAGCTTTGCAATGATACTGTCTTCACTCTTATGACACAATCGGCTCATCTGATACCAAGTTGCTAACACAAAAGGATCTTGTTGACTTTCTGTGGTGTGACAATTCCTGGGTTGACAATAGAATTCCCAGCCAGAAGGCTTACCAATAGATTCCACGAACTCCACTCACAATGGCTTTGGAGAGAAAGCTGTCCTTGTCCAAGGAGCTTAATTCCTCTGAACCTCATTATTTCTATCAATCAGAAATATCAAGGATTGTGGTAACCTGCCACTTTCTCTAGTAAAGGTAATCCTTGACTTATGACCACAACTGAGCCTATGTTTTCCATTGCTAAGTAAGACATGTATTAGAAGAATTTTGCTCCGTTTTACAACTTTTCTTGCCCCAGTAGTTAAACCACTCTGGGAGTTTATTGTTCTCATCTTTTGTCCGCGTCTCATGTTTTCAATTTCTTAGTTTGAGGAATCAATTGCAGAAATACTGTATATCTGTTACATGCAAATGAACACCACATAGATTTTAAATATCATATAATAAAGCATTGTACAGTTTATTTGATTTTGGTTTAGTATATTGTCTGGACATGCTAAGTCAATATGTGGCTTATTTAATAAACCAGGGTTCAACAAATCATGCCTTAGTTAACATAATGTAGAAATCCCAGATAAGCCTTTAGTCTAGAATACACCTTGGAAATGATAGACCAGCTGTTATGTTCTTAAGCCATTCTACTACCGTGTTTCTCACAAAATAAGGCCGGGCCTTATTTTTTTTTGAGCCCCGAAAAAACGGCTAGGATGTCTTTTCGGGGGTGAATTAATCCCCCCCCCCGGTGCACCAGCGCCGTCTCCAACAACAGCGTCTGAGTCACTCCCGCTTTTCCCCTGTCCCCGTAACAACAGGGAAAAAAAGATTTTGAGGTACCTGGGAGCGCCGTGTGCTGTGTTTTGGTTTAATCCTGAGTGGCTGGGTGGGCGTGAGAAGAGCCAAGCGAGCGTCTCTGCTGCTGCTACCCTTGGTGCTCCAGCCTCGGGCTCTGCAAGTTTGCAAAGTTCCGGTGCGCAGCCCATTCCTGCATTCCACTTTAGCCGCTTCTTGGGTGGGGGAGCTGCCTCCGTAACTTCCACGGTTCCCGCCGCTGCTGCCGCTGTTATTGGAGACGGCGCTGGCGAGAGAGGGACAGCTGCAGCTCGGCCTGGGCGCTTGGAATGCAGGAACGGGCTGCGCACCGGGACTCTTGCAAACTTGCAGAGCCCGAGGCTGGAGCACCAAGAGTAGCAACAGCAGAGATGCTCGCTCGGCTCTTCTCACGCCCACCCAGCCACTGGGGATTAAACCAAAACGCAGCGCGCAGCGCTCTCAGGTACCTCAAAATGTTTTCTTTTCCTGTTGTTACAGGGACCGGGGAAAAGCGGGAGTGACTCAGACGCTGTTGTTGGAGACGGCGCTGGTGAGAGAGGCGCCAGCACTGGTGGGAACCATGGAATCTATGGAGGCCTGAGAAGCGGCTGAAATGCTCCTGGACATCCACGCCGACGCCGCCCGCCTGCTGACCCAGGTAAGGGAGGGGTAAGGGAGCCCTCTGTGCTCCACTATGGTGTTAGGAGCGGCTGATGGTGAGGCGTAGCTGCCCGCGGGGCACTCCTAATGGCAAGTTCCCCCCAGCCTTCCCCCCCACCCAATGTCACATGTTTTAAACTAGGCCTAAATTTGGGGGGAGGGGCTTAATTTCATTTTATGCCTAGAAAACAAACTATTGCGGGGGGCGTATTGTTGGAGAAACACGGTAGTTTAACTCTATGGCATTCTTAACCAACATATTTCAGCCTAATACATGAACCCAGTCTGTGTGATTGGGTTGTATTTCAAAGCATCATGGGAACTCAGAGAAAACTGAACAAGAAAAACTGTTAATTCAACCATGGTAAGTGCACAACATCATAAGCACAAGCTATATGTTGTCTTGTAGCAATTTAGAAAGCCTCTGCTTTATTCTCCGGAATTCCTTTTATGCATTCAGCTCCTTCACTACATTATTATTTTGCTTTACTCTCTTTGAGATTCCAGATTGACTTCATTTCAAAGGAACCCAGAGATTGTTTTGCTTCACAACAGTCACTTATAAAGCTGATGGGCAGTGCAAACTTTGAAAGAGAAGATATGTATGTATTTTCCCTGTGGTGTGAATTAGCAACATCGTAGAAGATGGATGGAACCAGTAGGGGAAAAAGGAAAAAAACAGAAATCTAAATTCATAATCTCTAAAATGATGCCTTGTGGGCATAATTTGTTTAAAAAAAACACCCTGAAATATTCCCATTCTTGGTCCTCTCCCCTGAAGATATTTTAGTAGATTCAAAAGTCATTACCAGCTTTTTGAGTTTAGCTGCTATTGTCCAATTTGCTTAAACGTTTCCGTGAAGAGTTGAAAGTTCCTTGACAATGTATGCGCTCTCAGAACCAATGCAACATCCTTCACATCTGTTTTGCAATGCAGGATTCATTAGCGCATACTGTTCATTGGTAGTCAGTGACTTCTCAATGCAGAGTAAGCAAGCTGCTGCTTGACCCCTCAAAAATAAGCTCATAGTTGAGAAATGCCTCCAAGTGCTCTGTAAAGAAATGATGAAGTGATAAAGAATGTAATCGTAAAGAAATAAATGAAATGATAAAGAAAAAAAAGCTTTCATCCCTCCTCCATTCAGTCCATCCAGGGTGCCACAAATGTCTAACAAAGGCATGGGAGGGTGGGCCAGGGGTTCAAACTTCTCGTAGGTTAGTAACTTTGCTTGCCTCCTTTGCAAAGGGAAGGAATTTTCAGTGAGGTAAAACAGCCCTTCCCACAAAGGGCCTCCCAAAGCCGACACGTCCTCTGCTTTCTGTTCGGCTCAGTTCTTTTGGAGGGCCTAATGCATTCCAGATGTGCTGCTACGAATTCACAAAGGTTAGCAATCTGCAGGGCTTTCTGATTTCCCAGAGCTTGTCTGTGTGTGTGTATTAGCAACAGTATTTGTAAGCAACAATGCCTGTGACTAATTAAAACTTTTGTGGCTGGCAAGGACAGGCAAATGAATACGTGGTGGACATTTTCATGGTGAATGGGACATGACTAACTCCTCCTCATGCCAACAAAGTTCTGATCTGTCCAAAGGATGACTACTACAGTCATAGGAAAAGAACTCGGGGTGTATCTGATAAGAAAAAGAAATGGAGCAGCTTACTCCCAAAGGCAAGAGAGAGAAACATACATCCTTATTTTTCTGACCTGGGCTTCACAAAATCATGAAGCAGACTCCTTGTACCGACAAAACCCCCTTTTATTAGGCTAATGGGAATTCCTATCATTCACATCTAGCAAAGTCCCAGCAAACAGTCTTTCAAAGGGTGAATTACAACCACGGACCTTATCAGGCTTGGAGAACTGCCAGGCCAATAGCTTCCAAGCGCAAATGCTATACAAGAAAATATTTGGCAAGGAGTCTTTGAGAGTCACAAACAAATCTTCACACTAATTAAACAAACTAATTGCCTCCTGCAAACACCACTCCCCTTTCGCTCCACTCTATTCCGTATGGGAGGCGCCATTCACCATCCACCTGTGCCTTTACTCCCGAGTCTACCTTTGTTCCTTAACTGTTCCCTTCTCCTGGCAGGTCTGTGCACGCGCACATTGGAAGCAGGCTCCAGCCGTTCTTCTGCCCCACTGATCTCCGACTCCGAAGGCAGCTGATAACTGTCAGATGGCAGAGCACTCATCAGGGTTTTCCGCAGACTCCAGGTTCCTCCCCAAACTCCTCACTGTCTGAGTCTGCCGCCAGCTCTGCTGGCCGCTGGGGGGACACATTTATACAGGTAGGCCTGGTTTGGAAGTCACTACTGGTCCACTATCACAGCCCTCCCATTCACTGCCAGCCAGCTGTCAAAATCAGAGCCTTCATCAGCCCCTTGCCACACACATTCACCGACACAAACCCACCAAACTACACATTAACTGCCAACAGTAAACAAAGTAAAAGTAAACAAATTGCAACCAGGTTTGGTATACAGTAGAAAGATGACAAGATGGAATGGCTATGGCTATTTGGACTACCTGGATTTGGAGATGTTTCATTTTTAGCCCTGAGTAGGGTTATAATTTGGATTGAATGTTTTGTTAAATGTTTTAAATATCCATTACATATCAAGAAGATGGGATGGCCAAAAACTAAGTAGAGAGTGTCTGTATGATTGTTGTCCCCACATTTTTCTGGACTATTTATTGAGTTGTCCAGAATTGCAGAAAGTTTGAGAAACACTGGTTTAGCTAAATGTACTTGACCATGATGGCAGCAAACATATCAAAAAGGTCTTTGTGCTGCCATCTATTGCTTGTCCAGATTTTGTCCAGATTCAGGTCAAATCTAGTAACCTGACTTTAATTCACTACTTCATTTTTAACACGCTTAAGAGACTAGGCTTTAGCACAAAAGTCAAAAGTTCTGATAAGTGAAATGAAGACAGCCATCTGCAAAGGATAGCCTCCTAGAAATAAAATCTACATCCTGTGATTTCTGTCTAATCTGTCTGTTTAATATTATCATCATAATAAAATAATATAAAAATAGTTATGTTAACAGAAGCTTTTAATATACCCCCTTTCTACCATAATCCTCTGTCTGTGTCAGAGATGAATAAGTGGGGGTTGTTATCTTTAAGCTAAACAACTTTGTTCCTAAATCCTTATATTTCCAGCTTCTTATTATAGGATAATATTTCAGCCTGGGCTTTACTTTACAGTTTATGTTAAGATATTTTTGGCACTCAATGCAACTGCCACAAATAATTATGGAATTATAATTAAACTATTCCAGAATATATTGAAATACATGTAAAGAGACCAAGACCACTTGATATTTAACAGACAAACCCATTTATCTGCTAGACAAAAACCCCTCTTTGTGTCCTGGGGGAAAGTTGATGAAGAAGGAATAACTTTGAATTCTCCCAGCAGAGGATCCAAAAGCTTGTGATCTTATCTTTATTCCTGTTTTTATCATTCATAGAGTCCGTTGCTTGCATTATATATTCCGAAACCCATAGGCTTAACATGCTGGTTGCATTCACACAACATGTTTGTTAAGCCATCTTGGAATTTGTTCATTTTGAGTTCATGGAAGATGTGTCCTAGGTTTCTACCTCAGGATTATATAATTTGATAAGTTCTGCTAACTCAGCCAAACCAACAGATCACAGATAGGAAACCATGGCCTGGTCAAACCAGTTCTTTACTTGTGTGAGTAATTCCTCAAGATATCCATGGTTTCAACTGTTCCTGAAATTTCTCTGTCGCTGATTATGAATTGTCATGTGAACATTTGTTCTCTTCTGCCTGCTCTGAGTTGACTGCTATTCCTCACAAACAAGATGTTCCAGTACTAAAGGCTTTGGGTTGTGTAGTTTTTGACTGCACAACAAAAACAATTGTTCCTTTGTTTTCCAGTTGCATGTTCCAGAAGAGGCAACTTTTGGGTGAACTGGGCTAGGACCTCCATAGGCAGGGAGTGACA